GAAAGTCCAACTGGACGAATATAAGGAGATGAACGAACTATTAGAATTCCAACTTTTGGAAAATGTCGAAAATATGAAATACGAACTCGAGGTGTGAAATTCTGTTGTTTCTATTTTTGTAAAATGTTGAGGAATTGATGTGGTAACCTTACTAAAGCAATAACTGAATGTTGTTTCTAAAACTTATAATAATGTTAATGTCCTTCGTGTGCACTGAATCTTGTATTGCTGTGCATCTATAACGAATGGCTTTAAAGATATTCGCATAACTTCTATCTGCATTGATAGATCTGGATTTATGAAAAATATGAAATACGGTATTTTTTCTGGATTTAACATTATTGAATCAAACCAACAGAAATTCTGACCTCATTTTTTTGGTGCAATTGGTTAGCATGAAATTCAAATATTTCCATGTTTTTTCTCAGCTTTCTTATTTTTATAATAGCTGTGATTACAAATCGTATTTGTTTCTGTATTAAACTACTTTATTGCATGAATTTTGTGTTTGATTAAGTTTATCCAGGATAGCAATTTTCAAAAATAAATCTAAAGACTTCAAAAAAAATTTTTTATAATCGTGGAGTTTTTCAAATTTTCCTCAATCTTGAAAAAAATTACTTATTTGTCGTTACTCTATTTTACATTGGAATCATAAATATCTGGAATAACTTTTATTGATGATGACTAAAGCATTTTCTAACCAATCATTAATAAGCTGCATCTTTTATTTTTGATAGAAGTGGCAAATATCGAAAGAACTATTAGACAAGGATACAATGACCGATGCTCCGATGGCGGATGATAGTGATTCCATATATCCCAGCAAACCACCAAATTTATTTGTAAGAATATGTGCAAAACATTTCATTTTTAACTGACAAGAATCAGTATGAAAAAACCAGTCCTTTAAATATAATAAGATACTTTCTGAATATTGTTTGTAGCACTATGATGGGCATTCTTGATTTCAAATATAGGACAGATATCAATAATAGCAGTTAGTAGAATTTCTATGAGCATATAATATTTGAAGTTAAGTTTAGAGAATGTTTGTCATTGTAAATATTATTTCAAATGTCAGAATATTTCTCTGAAATTATTTAAACCCAGCTCGATCCAAATTGCTAAAAATTATGCATTTAGGAAGTAGCCCAGTCAAGTATTGTAGCAGCAAAGGAAGATCCGGCGTTTATGCAGAAAGAGATGGAATATAATACACATATAAAAAGCCTTGAAAAGTTGATTCAAGAGTTACAGTCGAAACAAACGCAAAAAGTTTGCTCTGTTCATATTTTTTTCTCTTCATTAGCACCGTTTAGAGTTTTGAAACCAATGAATGAAATAAGCGAATTGTGATATTACTTCAAAAATTTAAATAGAATGAGTGAGCAACAAATTGAACTTGAATTATGAAAGCGAGTGGTTTGTATTCTCCCTTCCTGAAATTCTGTTCACTGGTATCATAATAAATAATAATCAGTTTTTATATAATAATCACATTTCAAGTAGATAAATTTAGTTGAATCATGAAGTAAATGAAATGCCTAAAAAAATAGGCAAATCACACTATATATTGCAGCAGAAGGACGAGCAGTTCTGCAAGTGTAATGAAAAAAATATTAAACAAGAAAAGTAAGAAATTTTTGAAGATACTTCTTCAGCAGCACATGTGTCTTTAGCAACTTTAAACAAGCTTTAGTACTTGTCGAGACTTAAGTCTTATTACACCGATATTACCTCGAATTTTAACTACTTTACTTGATTACCTTGTCATACTACCTGATAATACGACTAATACATTATTCTCCCATTTCTTCTCAGTAGATGTTTCGGTTATCAGTTGTAACCAAGAGACACATGCCTGGTTTAATCTTATTGATAATATATTCAATTAAAGTGAAATCACTGAACTGAAAGAGCGGTTGCAATACTTGTCAGAACAAAACACTGAACTGCAGTCTCAAATCAAAGAATTCATGAAATCGTCACAAGAGTTAGAGGTATGGAATTCAGAAGCACATTGATAAAAAATTTATGCTTTCATTTTTGCGGTGATCGGTATTAAAACTGAACAATAAGCAAACATCTACAATATTTTCAGAAAAAGCTAGCAAGAAATGACCAGGAACTTTCAGCACTGGATAAGGAGAAGGCTCTATTACAGTTGGAGTACAGTAGTGCTCTTAACGATATACAGCGATTAAAAGATGACATTAGACCTACAGTCAAGTTAGTCATCTATACTAGACAGAGTTATTTTGATAAAAAATTGCTTTATTAACTTTTGATATGAAGTTGGATTATCATCACTTAGCAGTCTCTTTATTTAGTTTACTTCATATAGAGTTGTGATTTTTATTCACCTAACTAATTTAGTACTCATGGAATACCAGTCATATAAAAGTTTTCATAGTTTCAGAACAGAGTTGGAGCGCCGCTTCGAAGAATGTCGTTATCGTCTTTCATGCGCTCTTGAAACTATACATGAATATGAAGATGAAGTTTTAATGCTAAAAAGTCGTGCAGCAGAATATGAGTCGAAAAGTCAGGAAAGCAACTGTCTTACGAATCATAATGATAACTCGAAAAAAGGATTGGATCAAATCTATGAATATACCGAACAGCTTGAAAAACAATTCGCTGAGCAAGTAGAAATTATTGAAGCATTAAAACAAAAAATTATGCAGGTATGTTTCATGACTACAAAAAAATATGGTAGCACTTTTTAGAAATACCGATTGTCTCTCTTGTTAAAAATATAAATAAACCATTCTTTCAGTGTTAATTTTTCATGATAATGCAAGTAAATCAGATTTCGGAACGTTTTAAATTTAACTTGTTTTCCAATTCATTTGGGAAGCAAAATCAACAGAAGTGGAACTTAAAATTGATTGTTTCATGATACTTCTTAGAATTGATGCTTGTCAAAATTTCTTCAGCAGTGAAAAACTGGATTATATCTTTTGTCTCTTTGTGGAACTTTATAATTAACAAAATTTTGTAATTGCTCACACTTAAAAGCTGAAGATTGAGACGATGCATCTCGCCGTTTCTATTGCTTACATTGTATCATTTTTAAAACCCAAAATTCTGATTTTTATCTATCCAGCAGAAAAAACTGACTGACTTCGTGCAGAGTATGAAAACGAATGGTAACTTGAGCTTCCCAAAAATCGAAGATGAACTAGCGAAATTCCGATCATCACAACTAGAGGAAGGAAACTGCTTATTAGTGGATGCTATCCAAACATTACTAAGACTCCTATCAGACAGTACTGATTATGATCACGAAATGATCCCCAATTCAGACCTCAGCTGATTTATTTGTATTTATTTGTATCATAACTTGTATTCATTACTTCAATAAAAAATCGTACACTTTCGTATATTTGTGACAAGTTTCAATTAAATTTTAAAATCTGAAATGGATGGAAGTTCTTACGCATGCACTTCTCTTAAACTTCGATCTTTCATAGTATATATAAATATATACAAAATGGGAGGTTAGTTGTTCTCAATCGCTTTATTGGTTCTGGCGCTGGATCCTTTCCGGCACTCCGGCTGTATTTGTCTCGCGCTCAGATTTGCTATGCTCATCGTTCTCGCTTCGTCCTCGTGAAATCCATATCGACTATCGAAGGAGATGCTTTCGAGCGTCTTCTTGAGAACTATCGATTGGATCTATCCCTCGATGTGGTCTGATATACCAATTTCCTTCGCACACTGTTTGCAGAAGTTCTTACAACCCCACCCCAAGTCATCACATCCGGAATAATTTTGGTCCTGCATTTCATCTCTGACCCAAGCTTATTAACAAGTAGGTTATATTTTCTCCTTTTCTTGTCTCGAATGCTCTTAACCTGTCCTCACTAGTGATGCCAACCTCAATCAAGATTATTTCACGTCACTTCTCATCGTATATCATGATATTTGGTCGAT